CTCCATCTGATACCAAAGTTTCCATTAATCCATATTTACCTGCAAAATCTTTTATTTTAGTCAACGCTATTTTTGTCGTTAAACCTGAAATATTTTGACAATATATCCATTTCGATACAGCATCTACCATGATAAAATATTTTCTTTTTTCATCTTCTAAAATATCTACATGTATTCTTTTACCTGGAATGTCAGTTTCTGGCTATTTATCTGCTTTATTCTTTGCTGGTACATTAGCCCACATGTTACAAGTCTCACAGCTTCTAGCTAATTCTTCAATTTCACTATTCATCTTGGGCCACCAAATATATTCTCTTGCTTTATTCTTCATTCTTTCTATGTATTGATGTCCTGTATGTAATACGGCTAATGTATCTTTTCTTACTTACTCGGTATCACTAATCGATATCCGCTCAATAAACAATTGTCTTAATTCTTTCCTTATATTCTTAAAAGCTTTGTCTTCACTTTTCTATTCTGCCTCTCCTTTCAAACAAGTTCTAAATCTTATTAATTCTTCATCTTTTATGGATATCTCCTCTACTCTTTCGAACGTTATCGGTTCTTCTCTTGTATCTATTTTCAAACTCTTATAACTTTACTATTTAATTCTTCTTCCTCTTCTATATATTCTAAACTATTGATTACTGGATGTCTGAAATGTTTTTATTAAACAATCTCGATAATATATCTGGTAAACAATTTTATTTACCCGCTCTGAATTTTATCTCAAAATCGAAATTATTAACTTAAATTATCCATTTCTGTAATCTTGGTAAAATCATAAGTTCTTTATTTTCTTTCTTAAATAAATCTACCAACTGCTTATGATCCGTATATAATACAAACCTTCTTCCAATCAGATATTCTTTGCACTTCGCTAGATTTCACAGCCAGAACCTCTCTCTCGATCGTGGAGTAATTTTTCTCAGTGCTAGTAAACCGTCTCGATAAAAATAAAATCGGTTTCTCTACATTATCGGTCATCTGTTATAAAACTCCTCCTACACCTTCATTAGATGCATCAACCGCTAATATAATATCTAATTTCTCATTAAAACAATTTGAAATCGGTTTCTCTACCATCTTTATTTTCAATTTTTCGAAACTTTTCTCCTCTGCTTCTCCCCATTCAACCCTTTTATTTTTCTTTAATAAATCATACAACGGTGAGGCAATTTCTGCAAAATTTTGAACGAACCGATGATAATAATTCGTTGCTCGTAACAACGCCTGTACTTCAGTTTTATTATTTGGGGCTCTCATATTCATTATCTTATCTATATTCTTTGCAATTGGCGTAATTTCATTTTCCTTTATAATATGTCCTAAATACTTTATTCTTCTTGTTCCAAAAACGCTCTTATTCATATTAGCTTTTAAACCATTTTCTAATATAATATCTAACACTTTAATTAACCTAGTATTGTGTTCTTCTTCTCCTTTAACCGTGCATCCTTTGCTCAAAATGTCATCCTGACCCCTAAAAACGTAGATGCCGATTCTATAAATATTCAATTGATTAACAAAATTCCGGGGGATTTAATTACATACATAAGTGCTGATGAAAAGATAACCGAGGATGAAGCGACGTTTTATCCCACTGAATTTTTAAACTCTTTAAGTATATCAGGATTACCACCTCACAAACTTTTACTCAAAGTCGGGGTACCTATAATATTAATGCGTAACTTAAATTCTGCTTCTGGTTTGAATAATGAGACTAAATTGATTATAACTTTTTTGCTACCAAATATAATTGAGGCGGAATTTGTTTCTGGTAGTTTTCTCAGTACTAAAGTTCTCATTCCTAGAATAAGTTTAATTCCTACAGATTCTGGCTTCCCATTTTCCTTTAAGCGCCGCCAATTTCCCGTGAGACCTGCTTTTGTCATGACAATTAATGAAGCTCGGGACAAACGTTGAACAAAGTTGGTATCTATTTACCTCATCCTGTTTTTTCACATGGACAGCTATATGGATATGTCTCGAGTTTGTTCTCCTCATAAAATATTTTAACCAATGATAAAACAAGAACTACGACCAATGTGGTATATCGTGAGGTTATATCTGATTAATCCCGGTTTATACGAATAAGAGTGAACATTACTTAGTATTTTATAATTTAAACAATTTTATATTATTTATGCATCCTTTTGTCGGGCCGCACAATATGCCCTTTTATCTCTGATTATTTCGTCTAACTGAAAATTATACAAAGTACATTTTTAAAATTTAACTATATAACAATTTTTAAGGATCCTACTTTTTTAAAAGCTTACCATTTTGTCGGATCCACCATTGCTCTATTATCCCTGCTGATTATTTTGTATAACGCACAAGAAAATATTAATAGTACATATTTTTTATTATAAATAATTTTTTATATGATTTTATATCTATTCCAAAAAATCGAATATTTTTTTATAATTTAAATAAATTTATATTATTTTAAGCATTCCACGTATTTTTAAGACTATCCATTATCTCTGATGAAAATTTTGAAAATTATAAAAAATACCTTATAAAGAATAATTATTGAGTAAGGTTAAAATATTATAATGCATGAACCAAATAACGAAAAAGATAAAATTATAAGTATTATCTTAGCAATAATATACTATACATAAATAATAATAATAATATAATTTACTATTTTATAATTTACCATAAAAATATCCGCTAGCTGGCGTTAAAATATGTTATATTATAAATTGCTATTTTTAATTCTTTTTATTTAGTAATTCTTTTCACAAATTCAATATTAAAGGGTTATGACAATTATCACATCTTTCGCCTACAATATTTATTTTAAACATTTTACACTTTCCTTATTCTACTTATAGCTCGCTAAGCCTTGTTTCTGCCAGTGTCTGGGTTGAAGATCAAAGACTTTAAATATTAGCATAAGTTTCGGGATTTGATCCTCAAGTTGTTCCACCACTTCGCGGACGTGATATTATTAGGTAACCTAAACGATTTGAATTATTAAGTGTCTTAAACTAAATCACTAAAGTACGAATGGTAACTTGCTCTTTGTACCAGTGAAACCCGTAAACCATAATGTGGAAAAATCTGAACGATATATTATCCTTCATCTAAATCCATTTTAATAGAATTCATGCATTAAAATAGTTTTTGAAATATAAACAATTTAATTTACAGGTGCGAAAATTGTTATTTTTAGATACTTTATCTCAGGAATCAGGTGTATATGAAATATACAAGATTCTGACTATAAACTTGATTAAATACTTATTTTATTAAAATATGTTATATGAGCACAAATATTTTATAATAAATTGAATTTCTTTTATTGATTTAAACCTCGTTGATTGTTACTTCCATAAAAAATAAATAATCCTTTAAATTATATAGAATATTAAAAACGATTAAAAACTAAATAAATAATTTTATACAATTTATACACTTTTTTAAATCATTTTTTTTATCAATTTTACCGATTTTCTTTATAATTAAAAGCATACTAAGCGTATTATTATAATTAAATAAAAACCCATTTCACATTTTTTTTTCTAAAAAAAATCATTGACACTACGTTGTGCTTAATGTAATAATTTTTAAAATATTTATATAAATTTCTTGTACCTTTGAATTTTGGTGAACCAGAATTACCTGGTATAAGAATCCTAGATTCACATGCCTATTTCTTAATCCTATTTTTTTTAACAATTCTTAATTTCTTAATACTATCATTTTATTAAATTTTAAATACCAAAAGAAAAAAAATTTTATTCCTAAATTGCAAAATTTATTTCCATAATTTCTAAAAATTTCTAATAATTTTACATAAAAATTATAATAATGATATTCATAGGAAAAAAAATCTCTTTATAAAAATAATAATTCTACTATTATTTTTTGTCTTATTATTTAATTTTCGACCACATCAACTATATGCAATATTGTGTTGATTGACCCCGCCTTACAAATATCTATTTAAAAATTATGCAAGACTATGATGGTATTAATTCCAAAAAATCGTTTTTAATTCTTATATATTAAAATAAAATATCATAATAAAAAAAACTAGACATGAATTTGGTATAAAAAGTAAATTATTTTATTTATAGGCAAAATATATTTAAAAAAATACAGATTTTTAAACGTATTAGCATATAATATCTTCCAAGAGTTGTTCTGTCATCCTAGATTTTCGCGGTTGAAAGAATGAATTTCAAATGTGAAAAAGATCTTTCAACGCTAGCCTATATTAAATATAATTATTATGTAAATTCATTTGGGTTGCAGGAACAGTAAATAAGATTTTGGACAAAATATATAAATCCAGGGTGCTGCGTTGCAGCTTAGCAGACTCCCAAAAAATGCAAAATATTTTCCTTCTTATCCAATCTTTTAAAATCGCCAAATCCAGTAATTATCACTCCAATATTTTTCTCTACAATCGTTCGTCCTCTTTTAACTATTTTCTCCTGTCTTTCTTTTAAGTGGTAATTTCTCTAAATCAACTTGTTTAATAACTTCACCCCAGCTATTATCATCAGATAAAATGATCGTGGATATGGTTCTAATCCGACTCTATAAATTAACAAGATGTTTTACCATCATCACTAAATAATATCTATAATATTGAAGGATTTATACCATTTATATTTAAATAAATTGAAAAATATTTAAAAAAATCTTATTTACATTATCAATATTTGTATTTACGATTATACGTATATTAATATATGATTATAAAAATACACTGAATCCGATTAAACCCGCGTTCAAAAAATTCCGTGTTAGGTTTGGGTTTTTAGAAATTTCCTCAGAAAAAGGAATCAAGTTCGGTTCGGGTTCGAAACCCTGCACGATAGTATAATTCATTATATATTGATGATGTAATATCAAAATAGGCAAATATTCATTGGTTAGTTATTATAAAAATCGTAAAAAACCCCTATTAATAGGATATTAATAATGATAAAATTTATAGGTATAATAATCTATTCGAGGATATCATAAATGTTATAAACAGTTGTTTTTCTTATAGTACATACATACCTGCGGAAATAATATGAAACATAATAATAATGTAAACCAGGTCAAAAAAGCTAATTTTCCCAATTAAATTGCAAATAAATAAAATCATAATTTATTCTAGGTTTTACAAGAATTATAGTTAGAATTTTATTTTTAAAAATTAATTATTTATCGATGCCTCCTAATCTTGATCATGGGATTATTTAAAGGATCCAACATAGGATTATGCAAAAGATCATTTTTCTCTTGTTCGTATTCGAGAATTTGTTCCTCTTCTAAAATATTAAAAAGAGGGATTGGGGGGTGGGGGAGGGGGTGGGGATTAAAAAGAATATTAAATTTGCTGATAAAAATAGATATGAATGTAAAGAGGATGGGATGGTCCTGATAGAAATGAGAATTGATGTGTTGGGCAAATCTATGAATACATGATCATTATTAAAAATAAGTTAAAAGTAATCAGATTGAGAAAGTAATTCTGAACAGAATCTAGATAAATAAAAGAATAGAGTTCATTATATAATTTTTTTTTATTTTAGCAGAGATGACCGACCTAAAAAGGGTCAAGGAAGTGGTCTGTCTCGTTTCACTCCAATAAAATAATAAAAATCCTTTTAGGTAATTTGGCAATAGCCGGTTTAAAATTTAATCATATATAACAAACATCCTTAATCCAATTATGATCTAATATCCACTTTCTAAATTTGTTTCCTTCTTTCTTCCTAACTTTCTGATTTATAGTAAATTTTATTTAGCAATCAATCTTCTCTATTCAATGTATAATTTATATTCTTTCCTATTCATTTTATCTTTTTCATCTTCTATCTCTTAAAACAATTCTGCGCTTAATAATAAAATATACCTAAATTTTCGACTAAATCACTCGAGTATGGACCGTACCTTGACGTGCGATGGAAGAAAACCACGAAAAATAAGAATGCCAAAACGAGCGATAATATCAAGAGCATAAATTGAGAAGTGCCCAGCCGCCTTCTATAGCTTGGATAATTGCCACTTTTACGAATAAATAAAGTAATATAATTTGTTTGAGAATTGACGAGTTATGGGTATATATTATTTATTTTCCTGCTTTTCGCGTATTAAAATTCATTGCTACTTACGAAGCGTTTATAAGCAAGTTAATTATAATATAACTGCAAACCAAATTCTACAATGTTAGTAAAGATAACGCGTCGATCTAAGATAATTTCCTAAGACAAATGGGTTAGATTTTAAGTTAGCGCGATATATTTTATTCTTTTTCTCTAGCCTTTTTACATTTTGATTGCCAGACTTAGCGAAAAGTCGCCGAAGAATTCAGCCTTTACTATGTAAATGATTAAAAGAACTAATGAAATTTTTTTACGTGTTAAAAGTCAACTTCCTGAAGAACAATTTGAGTTTTCGGGCCACTGCCCCTTCTGTCAATTTATCATTCTTGATCTCCATCCTGCTATTCCCCTGGTGATAATAATTGTCCACGAAAGTCGATTCGTCGCGGTTAGTGTGCCTGGCATTTTGATGCTGTCGCGTGACTGTGGGGTTAAATTGCCCGGGAGAAACAAATTCGGATTTTAGCATTGATGATGGTGTAGTCAAACGGTCCGAGTCATTGCTAGTTTTGTTTTTGTTGGCATAGACACTGGGGTTAACGCGCGGATCTTTATCTAAATTTTCGAAGTGATAGCGATAAGATGGGTCATTAAACAAAATAATAGATATATACGACTCTACAATATTGGAGTGCTGACAAAAGTAAACTAATGATAACTATGTGCCAAAAGTATTTCAGTGATTTTATATGAAAGGAATATCGTTTAGGCTGCTAATAGGATCCGCTCCAGTACAATTTAAAAGCTGATCGATTTTAAGAATCTGTTTTAGAGATCAATTTTCTTTACTAAAATGAATAATTCCTATATTATTATCATGAATTAAAGATTAAAAAATTTATATCATAGACAGTAAAAAGCGATCAGCTGTTAAAGAGTGCCAGATAGGGTCCCACTATGAATTCAGCCTTATTCATTTTTTGAAAAACTTCTTTCGAAATTATCATAAAAATGTAAAATATTGAAAATAAATAGAACATAAGATTATAATATTTGAGTTATATGCTACATCATCTTTTTAATATTAAATAATTACATAGAATAATTTACATAATTCAAGTTAGTCAAATATAAGCAATTAATTATTATAGCAGACATAAAGTCAGTTAAATTAAAGTTTAGACCTAATAAAGGATTGCAGTAAAATAGCCGAGATATTCAATTTTTAAATATGACATATCCTTAAGAACTATATCACAGAGACCTGCAGGCCCAGCCCTAAGCCTGGCTTGGATAAATTATATTAAAAATATACCCAAACCAGGCCATATATTTAAAACCGAAAAATTTTTTTTAAATAAAATTCAGGCCCGATCAAAAATTTATTTTTAAAAAAAATCCGGGCCAGCCTTTGCAAATGGTACCTCTGCAGGTCTCTCACATATATTACAAATTTTTATAAAAAAATAACAGATAATTTTTGTATATTTTATTATATACCAAAGTTGACAGAATGATTAAGGGCTGGCAAGGAATCGTTTTGCTTAGGGGAAAAATCTGGAGAAATCTGTTAAAAATTGTTAATTTAACTATTTTTAAAATCAAATTAATGCTATGCAATCAAACGAATATGTGATTTTTTTGTGGAAATATCAGCAATGACTTTAAAAAAATATATAATTAAATCCTAAATAATTAACCCCCCCCCCCCGCCACCCTTTCACCTGAAGAAATGTCAGGATTTTTAGAGAGGATTTGAGATTGCTGAGACTTGGAATCAAGGCAGGACAATAAATATAGGAGTATGAATGAGTGTTAAGAGGATTCTCACCATCCTTAAATGGATGAATGCAGAATAAAGAATTGATAACTATTTTATATAGCTTTTTAAATCTAAGCCATTTAAAAAAAAATATATATTACTTTATTTTATGCTTATCTATCAAAGGTTTCATTTAATAAATTTAACTACACTTATATTAATTATATTCCTCACCAATGTCAAATCAAAGGGAAATTTTGTGTCTTTGAATGAATTAGCAAAATGATTTCTTAAATTCTCGGCCAATGGGGATTTAACGTTATTCGAAAAAAATATGCACTCCTTGCATGTTGGGCAGGTATAACCATTTGGAGCAGTTGTGTTGGGTAATGTAGAATAATGTTGATCCAAGCAGTCAGCATGGAATATGTCTAAATCATGGTTTAATTGTATAATTTAAACAAATTTATATAAAATGATAATAAACATTCTTTTTAATTAACAATAAACACTTTGCCCAGTCTTTTTTTCATGAAATCCTATCATATAGACTTTTATAATAAAAATGTTAATTAAGATCCTAACAAATATGACATTTATTCAAAATTAATAAAAATATTGAAGTTAACAAAATTACAGTTTCTATCATTTAAACATATTTTATTACAAAAATGTCATTGATATCTTGCTATATTTAAATTAAAAAATATTAAAATCATAACAAAAAAAATGTGAAAATATTCAAATGTGTTTTGTTTTATCTCTTATAATATTGGGAACAAAATTGAATAAATTGTATATTTATTTTAAACCTAAGCATAGGAATCGTATTGTTGGTTTATCAATTAGCATATGATGGCATAAAGAGCATGTTGCATCATAATCACTATCCTGCAGCCATTGTAAATATGATTGAACCACACACTTATAACAATCAATAAAATAAATTTTATTTTAAAATATATAGAATATACATCATATATAAATCTAAATTTAAATTTTAATAAAAATCATAAATTAAATAATTAGTATATTTTTATTTTAAATAAAAGTATCAGTTTAAAAAACCACATTTTAAGTGGTTTTCTGAATTAATAACTATTTAACATAACTACTTGTGAATGATCCGAAACCAAGCAATGTTCACAAACATTGACTCTATGCTCAAAACAAAATAAGGTCGAAACTTTTCTTCTATGGCATTTACATAAACCCATAAAGTATGTTATTATATTTTATTTTTTTTTAGTAAAATATGGATAGAAGTTTAGCATAAAACCTGCTGTTCGCAATGTTGGCGAAAAATAAAATTATAATATTATTGGACAAGAAGAAAAACGTTCAATTTGTGAATGGCTTTATTAGAAAGTATTAATCCAGAATAATTTATTATAATCGAATTGAGTGATTGTATTAAAATATAAGAAAAGAAAGTGATTATTTTATTGTGTATATTTTAACCAAATCTCAATATATATATATATCGTAATATATAATTTATGGTAAAATAAATTGTGGCTAAAGGCTTCGTATATAAAAATACAATAATATATTATTAAGTGTAACTGACATTTTAAATATAAGTAATAAAATAATAGCGTACAAAAACGCACATGCAACATGCACTCCCTCCAAAAAAAAAAATATAAAAAAAAAATTAAAGTCTTGAAAACACAACATGGTACAAAAAAATGGGGAAGGAAAGAACTCGTTTAGCATGCGAGAGGTAATTTATTTTTAAGAATGAAAATATATGTATAAAGGGGAATTGGCACCATAGTTGTACATGTTAGGTTTTAATGTAATTACCCTTACAAAAGGTATAAATTACACTATCGATAGGTACAATTCACACTATAGGTGGCCAATAAACAATAAATATATTTGGAATAAAAATTGATATAATGAAGAAAATTATTTAAAATTGGCACCATAGTTGTACATGATAGGTTTTAATGTAATTACCCTTACAAAAGGTATAAATTACACTATCGATAGGTACAATTCACACTATAGGTGGCCAATAAACAATAAATATATTTGGAATAAAAATTGATATAATGAAGAAAATTATTTAAAATTGGCACCATAGTTGTACATGATAGTTTTTTATGTAATTATCCTTACAAAAGGTATAAATTACAATATCGATAGGTACAATTCACACTATAGGTGGCCAATAAACAATAAAAATATTTGGAATAAAATTAATATAATGAAGAAAATTATTTAATCAAAAAAAAAACAATCATGAAAATATTTGATAAAATTTGGGGATGGTGATAAAAAATATAAGAAAAGCGTATTATCATAGAAAACAATTCTAATTAAAGAAACATTATGATCTAAATTAACAATTTTGATCTTAGAAAATCTGAATTTCCAATGACATTACTGATCCTCTCAGTGACAATACCCCCACGTCATAATTGATTGAAGCTCACTTTAACAAAAACGGAGTTGTGTAAAGTTAATTCTCAAAATTTTATTCTTTTAAAATTAAGGTCGTAAATCAAAGTCATTGTCATTAAAAAAAATGTTTTATTATTTTTTTTTTATATCAACCGATTCCTAATCGAAGCGATAACGGATTATTAAAAGTTAAAAAATTCACTCTATCTCCTATCTCATTATTTATAATAGTGTTTACATCAACGTTGAATTTGATTATGTCAAATTCTTTAATCCAGTCTTGACCACATAGAGGTGGTCCCTCCCCATCCAATACATAAAAATTTAAATATTTAACTGTATTCAAATATTTAACCTTAATATTCGAGACCTGACCAACGACTGTGATAGGAGAACCCTCATAAGAGAATAATTTTATAGAACAATTTTCCAACTCAATTTCTTCAAAATTCTCCAATTTTTCAAAATCTTTAATGGGCAAGGATGTCACTGGAGAACCCGTATCTATCAAAAAGAAAAATTAAGATTATTAAGTTGCATATTAATCATAAAATCATTAATAAAATTTATCTTATTCCTTGGCCTTAAATTATATGGCGTTTGTATAATTTCTTGTTTTTTTAAATTGTTGTTGTTGTTGTTGTTATCGTTGTAGTTGTTGTTTTTGTTGTTGTAGGTCCTACCATTATGCTTGTTTTCATTCCATGACGTATAGAATTGTGCACCATATCTGTCATCTATTCTCCATGTATCTTTTTCAATGAAGGACTTTTTATTATTAAACTCCAATGATTGACATTTGACAATAATCTCCTCAATTATAATCAAGTCTGTCGTGTTCTCTTCTACCAATCTTGTTTTCAATCTCTCATTGTGACAATTAATAATGAATTGAACTGCTATCAATTCTGAATTAAGGCCAGATCCGCACACTTTCAGCCTATCCAGATATTCTCTGGATGACTCTAATCTATCTGGTTTAGTACTAAAAACTTCCATTATACGTGTAATTTTGTTCTTTTCAACCTTTTTTTGAATTAAATCCTTTATTTGTTCATAAGATAAATTATCAATCGAATCCATTATACTCACCGCCAAATCTTTATTAATTGTCTCGAACAGTTTATACTTCTTAGTAGGTTCATCAGTTATGTTTTCGGCAATAAATTTTAGGTCACGGGTTTTGAGTAAGACTTTTATGTTATTATTACTATCCTCCACCATATTGGACAAGAAGAAAAAGGTTCAATTTGTGAATGGCTTTATTAGAAAGTATTTTTCCAGAATAATTTATTAGAATCGAATTTGAGTGATTGTATTAAAATATAAGAAAAGAAAGTAATTATTTTATTATGTATATTTTAACCAAATCTCAATATATATATATCGTAATATATAATTTATGGTAAAATAAATTGTGGCTAAAGGCTTCGTATATAAAAATACAATAATATATTATTAAGTGTAACTGACATTTTAAATATAAGTAATAAAATAATAGCGTACAAAAACGCACATGCAACAAATATCATTGGCTCAAATATCGTTAAGCTGCATTCATGATGTTATTAAAGATACTAACGTTATTAAAATTTTAAAATATACTGAAAATTTGGCCTAATAAAACGTATTGAGTTAAATTATTTAAATTTAAGGCCCCCATCCAGTGTCATACATATAAAGGCTGGGGGGCTTCGCCCCTCAAACTCCCCTTTAACAGGGCTTCGGACCTATTGCCCAGCATTTGGCGGGGTTTATCTTAAAAATCATATTTGTTTTTCTTAAAATATAAAAGTCCTAATTTGTGATCATTTTAATTAGTGTTGTTAAGCGGCTCGATTTGAGCTAATTTTTATAAAAAGCTAACTCAATATTTTGGCCAAAAAAATAATGCCCAAGCCTAGAGATTTCATGAATAATGTCTAAACAAGTATTTTTTGAACGTAAGATCCAATTTTTTTGCTCTAGGGGAACCATATCTTCGATAATATATAATAAAGATATTTTTTAAATGCTATAATAATATTTTATTATAATTTAGTAGATTATTCTCAATGACTTTATAATAATACTATCCAGAATAATTTAAATACTAATATAATATCCTTCCATAAACATCAAAACCAGAAAAATATAAATATTCATGGTATTTATTGGATATAAAATCACTTTTGAGTCTTTTGAACGTATAATCTAAAAAAATTATTTTGCTCTAGGGGAGGTCCACACCCGACCCAATCATTTTTATTTAATTCCGTATCAGGTCAATTCAGCGAAACTTATATCGCGAAACACTTTTTCGCTAAACTTTTATCGTGTCGTTTATCGCTAATGTAGTTTATCGCGAAGGAATTTTCTAGCGAAGACAATATCGCGAACTTATTATCGCGAATTTATTTCCGTGAAACCTTAACCGCGAATACTTTATAGCGAATACATTCTAGCGAAACTTTGATCGCGAACTCGTTATAGCGAATTTATTTTCGCGAAACTTTAACCGCGAACTTTATAGCGAATACATTTTGGCGAAACTTTGATGAATCTATTTCCGCGAAACCTAAACCGCGAAAACTTTAGAGCGAATACATTTTAGCGAAACTTTGATCGCGAACTCGTTATAGCGAAACTTTAATCGCGAACCATTTATAGCGAATTTTCCCGCGAATGTATTTGCGCGAAATTATTATAGCGAGCGCATGACAGCGAAAATTGCAAATTCATTTTAAGTGAAATTAATATATTCAATATCAATTTACCAACCGAAGTTTCTTAAATCATAAAGCGAATGTTTTAAGAATATTTTATTACGTTTTGTTTTTAACAAGCATGTAACCTCTATATGATGTGATAGAAAATATATTAGTCTTTCTGGTCTCACTCACTCATGATTGTAAGTATGGAATGGACATTTTGGGTTAAGTTTTTACCAGAAAAATTTAACCCCCCCCCCCCCCCGCATAAAATTTTAAAGTGTGTTTATGTCATTTAAAGTAAATGAAATACAATATAGATAAAAAAATAATATTGAAAGCTAAGAATTTTTTATTGATTTTCTCAGATCATTTTTAAAAATTATAGAAGATTTTACTGAGATAATGCACATCGATATAACTTTCTGATATAATAATAACTAATTCATTTGAATATTTTGATCTATCCTTTTTCTTCTTTTCGCATTTTAATAAATAGAAATAACCGCAAAGTTATTGATTAATCAAAAAAAAAAATTCAAAATATTCTATTAGATTACATAAATTTGTAATATTTATGAAGAATAAATTATAGAAATAAATCATTAGATCTTTTTTGCTGATTTCACAAGTCTAACTAAAACAATATAAAAATTAAAAAACATAAAATAGTTTTCATCATTTTTTAAAATAATACCAGTTCAATTTAAATCACAGCGTTTTTATGAAAACACCGCTAATCGCTTCTACTCAATTTGTAAGCACATTTACTCATTTTTTCTAATAAAATGGAATTAAAAAAAATCAGAATTTTTTGAAAATAAATAGAAAATGTTCCAAATCAAGAAAATAAAGATATTCCAATATCGGGAAACCAGGGCAAAATGGAGTGTTTATTTATTTACTCTTAGATATTTTACCACGACAAGGGTGAAGGGGGGGGGGAGTGGTTTATTAAAAACATTTTCTAAATTTTGAGAAGAGTATATAAATGAAAGATTGGCTATATTTTAATTATAGATTAAATAGGTGTCTTATTCAATTTTCTCATTTTGTAAATTGCAAAAATTTTTAGGCCCGGTCATACCTCCCATATTCTAAGAGTGAGGTGGGATTTTTAATGACTAAAAGGATAAAAATTGTAATTTTTTTAAAATTATAATTTATAAATTTAAATTTGAATATTATCCTTATTTATAAAGTCAAAATATATATAAATTAGATCCAAATCTACATATTTATCGGAAGGAATTTATTTTATTTAAAAGTTTATTATATATAAAAATAAATTTTAACTCTTAGCAATTCATGTCAAAATTCTGCTTTACCATTAATTCGGCCTCTAATAAATTAAATGAGACCGAAAAAGGATTTTTTCGCCTAATCATATTCATTAAACTTATCTCTGAGCCAGCATTTGAATGTAGAATTTAAAATAAATCTTTACATATTTTTTAGGCTTATGTTTACATTTTTATTTAATTCTTTCAAAATATTCTAACTTGATCGTATTATTCAAAATCAACGGTTTAAGCTATTTATATCTATAATCACCATAATAGTTTGATAATTCTGAGTAATTTCTTTATATGCTTCAACTTGTGTATCAGAATAAAGGAATAGACAAAATTTATATATTTTAATATCAGCGCCGTTAAATTTGGCGGCTGAATAGTTCTACGAACTAGTTGTAAATTATATCAATATTTCTTGCTTTATTAGTACCAATTGAGTATTTAAACGAGTATATAGTAGCTCGTAAAAGGAAAAAACTTAAGTAACAAAATTTTGGCAAATCTATGATTTAAGCGACTGAAATAATTTCCGAATATTTTATTGTTACGTATTAATTATAATTTAATTCGTTTAATAGACAGTATAAAGAAAACGTTTATTACCAAAATAAGAAAAATTGCCTAATTTGGCATTATTGATAGAATGGAATATAGCTGGTTTGCGCTAATATTTATTAATTCTTCAGTCATTTTTTACACACAAAAAGGTAACTGTACTATAAGAGAAATAAAATCTATATCACCCATTAAAGCGTAAAATCAAGCAAATTTCTGGAAGCATTTAATTTGGAACTTAAATCAATAATTGAAATTTATTACATTGATTCTTCAATTCGTTTGGTAGATAGTTTTTAACGATAAAATAAGATAAAATTGCCACGATTGGCTACATGCGAAAACAAACAAATATTTTTGGGTGAGCTCATACCATATGAAATGTCAGATTAGTACTTACTATTCCATCAATCAGTTTTTCTTCAATAAACAAAAACTAGTTTTAATAAGAGAAATAGACAATAGCACACCTTTAAGTATGTATGAACCAAAAGTTATTAGAATTTAAAAAATTTGAATCAAATTTAGATTGAACAAAGAATCTAAAGAAAGCAATTATAATAAAAAAATTAAATGAAATATCTTAAAAAAATATTACATCATTATTTATAAAATCAACTTTTTTCCTATTTCAAAATATGAGGATTTAAAGATAAAAGGCTAACTCGATATTTTAACCAAAAGAAAATAAAGCTTAGAAACTTTTCCGACAGATGACATAACTTGGGCAACTTTGGGAAATGTTATATCAAAATGAGATGGATTGGTTATGGTAAAATTTAAAACAATTAGGATAGCTAATTATTTTCATCAAGCGAATAGGTTGAGCTATTGTTTAATAAAAATAAATTAGATTATTTTTAATGCCTAAAAAAAATAAAAATAATTTTAAAAAATATAACCAAAAAAAATGATGTATTTTAATTTTAGTTTTATTTTTATTATACATGACATGCATGACATGAAGCCACCCAAGCTCAATTACATTGTTATCAAATCAAATGAGAATATAGTATATTAAAAAAAGGGTTAGGGTACCTTTTCAGGGGCAATTATTTTTGTTATTTTTTAATATTATTTTTTGATTTTTTTATGCGATTTTTTTTATGTAATTTTTTTATGAAAACTATTGTTTTTATGTTATTTTTTTATGATTGGTTCATTTTCTTATTGGTTAATTTTTTATTTAAGATATTTTTAAATTAATATATCTTTTTTTATTTAAGATATTTTAAAATAATTTTTTTATAGATATTTTCGAAAATATAGATTATTAAATCGTTTTGATGTTTTTATTCATTTTATTAATGATTGTAGATTATTAAATCGTTTTGATGTTTTTATTCATTTTATTAATGATTTTATAAATTTTAATAGTATATTTCAATTTAATGAATAAATTATTTCGATTGTTATGCTTAAATTTTATTTATTTTTGGAATCTTCCTTTAATTATAGTGTTATCACTAAAAAAAATTAAATTCTTTATACAAATTTTAGAAAAAATTATTCATATTAAGTTTGTATAGAAGGAATCATATTAAGTTTGTATAGAAGGAATCATGTTAAGTTTATATAGAAGGAATCATATTAAGTTTGTATAGAAGAAATCATATTAAGTTTGTATAGAAGGAATCATATTAAGTTTGTACAGAGGGAATGTATAGAAAGAATCAACCAAATA